TGAAAATGCAATTTCCTCAGAATGTCTTAGATAGCTCACTGCCCACCAGTTAAAACCAACTGGCCCAACATATGATAAAGCTTAATAGTGCCGCAGAAATTTAGCATTAGAGGGAAATTCTCTGTAGGTGGATTCAAGTACCCAAACTGCTATAGTTACCCTTTTATGATGACTTCTTTGGTAAACCCCATTAGCCAAGATGGTGGCTTTCTTCAAAGTGGCTGTCAACAAAGTCTGTTTTTGGATAAGGGAAATTAAACTTGGCTTTTTGAATCATCTTCATGTCAAATCATACACATCACAATATCTGCTTCAGCCACACTCCTGGATGAAGCCCTTACACTACTCACTGGTTACCCAGTTCTCATCTGTGCCTCCCAAAGAGTCTTGTTCATGGTGACTCAGGATTTAGAGCAGGCTGTCTACTATTCAAAACTTCAGTGGTTTGATTCTCGGCTCCTTCGTCTGTATGTTGGAGAGTCCTTGTGCAAGATACTGCACCCTAAAATTAAGGCTCATGCGTTTCATAATCTTAACTTGTGCTAGGTAATTATGACAGTGTCACTCTAGTTTTAACAGCTCAACACTTCTGTACCTTTCAGCTCTGCTCAACTTTATATTGAAAGAAATGTGTTAACAGCCGATTTCCCTCAGTTTGCCTTTTCTCCTTTACCTTCCTCTCGCTTCTTCTTTGCTTATAGTGCACACTAGAGTCACCTAGACAGAATAAATTAGTTTAACTGTAAAGTAGAATCTGAGCATGATGTGGTGTAAACCATTTTGTTTCATTTGTAAAGAGGTGAAAGTGGCATCAGAGGGGCTCCACTACTCGCTGCAGGAATGGGAGAATAAGACTACTCAAAGAGTGTTCAGCCTTTTGGAAAAATAGCTGGCTACTTATTAACCTACTATCAAGACCTACTTCATGTTGAAAGTAGTGGCCACAACAGACTCTAAACAGAACACTTAGCTCCATGTGGCTTTCTAAAATGAGTGCCTTCTTAAAAAGGGAGGCTATGAGGTCGCCCTTTAGTTACAGTTTCTAAATCAACAATAGTCCTCTTAATTATTCAAACAGTGATGATAAGCTAGCGTTAGGTTTCATATGTTCCTCGATGCAGTCTTGGGGGATTCAAGGCGGTGAGATCACCACACACTCAGGTCCAGATGCCCTGCTGCAAATCTTGAAACCTGATCCTTGAGATGAGAGAGACCCTCAGCTGAGGAACATTTCTGGCACACCAACTCAATGACATCACCCCCCCCCCCTCCCCTTTCCCCCATTTTCTGCTTTCCCCTAATCACCATTTCCTTCTATGCATCTTTGCAGTGTTTTTTTCTCTTTTAACAAGACATGGATTTCTTTGCTTGCCCTCATAATCCAATGTATGTATTAATCTTCTGTAAAGGAGCACAGCTATAGATTTGTATCTCATAGTCTTTTCTGAAAATCACAGTACAAGTGGTGGGTGAGAAACCCCGGTTGCGGTTTCTTACCAGCCACTTGAACTGAATGACATCACTTGAGGACGCACTTAGTCATTTCTACATTACAGCTGTGATGAAGGATGGCATCGTGCAGGCCGAGCATAGATCACACATGGTGCTCTTTAGCTTTTGAACTTTGTATAAACGCCACATGGCTGGACAGCTTTAACAGAGTAGAAAACCGGCACAGTTGGTTTTGATTCCTTCATACCAGGTTAAGTGTAAACAGCCTAATTACCTGAAGGATATAGAAACCAGTAGGGTTATTGCACTCATCAGCTTGGCTGCAGGCTCAATGCCTTAGAAAACTGGGATACTTCTTCAAGACGATAAAATAAAGACCTTAGGCACAGCATGAAATAATATTTAAAACTGTAAAACCAGGGCATTTTGTGGCATGCCTTCGGTTATCGCTGCTTTTTGTCCTGGACAAAGTTTAACACGAACAAGCTGTCTCTGAAAGCAGCAACTATGTGGCTTTTAAGGAAAACTTTATTCCACTTTTGACGAGGATGGCTTTGAACTTAGCAGTGGCCTGTTGGTTTATGGTTATAGAGGAACTAAATTTAGTTAATATACTGTGCTCCAGCTTTGAAAAAGGAAGCACTGAAACACGATGCCTAATTAAACAAGTCTATGTCCTAATGCTACTGAAAGAAAACAAAAACACCCACAGTATGTGGATACTGTTTTCTTACAAGTGACATAACCACCATGCCCACATGAGATGAGTAAAAACAACACGAAACAAAAAAAAACAAAACTGCTGTAGTCTCATTTTTTAAGCCAAAACAACACTAGGAATATTAAAGAACAGCTATCCCAAAGAAAACCTAACAGTACTTCCAGTATTTCCTCCCTGGTTAGACACATTATCTGTGACTACTGTGTTGTTCATGAAACTCTCTATTGTTCTGATGTTAATAGCACACCCGGTTTCTGGGAAAGCGTGTCTGGGCCACGGGTCACTAATGCGGGGGACAAACAACTCTTTTGAGTCCAGTCTTACAGGTCACTGGACGTGCACTGAGCAACAGTGCTGTGTTCTGACGCAGCTGGATGAGTGATGGAAACATTTCAAAACTGGTCACATCATCATCCACTGGATTATCATGTCAGACACTTACACCACCAAAAACTCTTTCTTAATGCATTTACATACAGTCTAGTGTTGGCCAAAGAGGAGTCACAAGGAAGTGAGAGACGAAAAAAGTGATTTGAGGCAAAGTGTTCCTCTACAATAACTCGTGCCTTTTGATTCACAGCTCCTACAATTAAGGAGGATTGCTCTTTGCTCGATTTAGTCCTTGTTCTCATATCTTTTAGTTGCCTCACCAACTTACAGAGGCGTCAGAGATCATAATATTCCCAGTCTTTGCAACTGCACCACACAAACCTCAGACCAGAGTGTTCGTACTTTAAGTTGTTCTTAAACACAGCTTAGTTACTGTGGCCTTGGGTTAAGGCTCCTTGAGTCCTCCTAGTCAGAGGAATTTAACATTCTCAGGGTTGCAGAAATCTATGCTAAAAATGGTATATCCATACAAGCCCCAATTTCCTTTAATCCGCTGAGCACTAATCGCATGTTAGTATGCAAAGCTGTACATTTGTCTCCACCACTGCCTGCTGTTATAATTTGCCTGTTAGTGACTGATACTTTCCCTCCATATACCCTACACATTCCTGATATTTTACACCACCGTTGGACACTTGCATTTGTAAAAGCACAAACCAGTGTACAGCCTTATTCCTTTCTAATAGGCAGCTTAGTTGAGCTTAGCTCAACTGATACTAGTGCAGTCCAGCTCTATCGTACTTTGATGAAGCGCAGACATTTTCAGTTTTTGTTGACAGTGTCAGAAAGGTGATGTCTTCTGCTTTATTTTGGGTGTGGTTGTGACAAGAATAGTCAGAAGTGTTCTAAATATTTCATTCACCTCATTATGGCACACAACAATAAAGGTGTCAAACATTTGGCCTGGGGGCCACACACAACTCAGTTTGTTTTGATCACTTAGAATTTAAAAAAAAAAAAAAAGAGAGAGAGAGATCCAACTTCAATTATTATGAAGAAAGATCAACAAAAAAGAAGGTGCTGTGGTAAAATGTGACTTCTGGTATCTGCTCAAAAAAGATTTTCTATATTTAAACTGTTGCAAATGAGTCGTTTCAATATGACTTGGTAACATTAATGATACCAAACCATTTTGAGCCAAGAAGAACATTTTATCACAAGGCAGAAGCTTTAACCAGTTTATGGCAAAGTGACTTACATATTACATTTATTTATCTGGGTAAAAACAGTCATTATTATTTTGTCATAGCTCTTTTGACAGCAGATAACAACAATAAAAAAATATAACATTACAGTTCTATAAAGATATTTAAAGTGGCCACAAAGGACTGGACTGATTACAACGTAGAACAAAAAGTGAGTACAATAACCCAGCGTCTTAAAGATGCTTACAAAACAAGCATTTTTTAAAAATTTTATGCACAACTGCTTCGAAAATTGTGTTGACTACATTATATCACCAATATAACCAAAGGTACTGCACAGAGAAACATCCGAAGTCACTATCTAGCAGATGATCACTTTTTGGCACAGCACTGGGCCCCACCTGCAGGGCCTGAATGCCCTGCAGGAGGGGGAAAACCTGATGTAATGGTTTTACTGGTCCGGCCCACTTCAGATAGTAGGCTAGCTGTGCACCAAAAACTAAAATAAGTGTGACACCCCTGCGCTGAAGAGTTGAAACAGCCATGCTTACAGCCCTAATCAATGGAGTTATAACAGCGAAGTCAAGTTCCACCTACTGGCACAATCAATAGGTTTAACATACTCTATGTACAGTAGTTTGCTGCTCAGTTAGGTTTACATCTGTTGGTCATTACTTTGACAGCTGACAGGCTTGGGTGAGCGGCAGCTAGGGTACTTGAACCAACCATTAGGGCAAAATTAAGGATAACAAATGAAGGTTTTACGCTAAAGCTTGCTAGCGTAGCTAACGACGTGTCCCAATCAGGTTAATATTAACATACACAACGCCATGGCAACGTTAGCCCATCCAGTTTAGCTTTAACACACGTTAACCCCAAAATTAAACCAACAAAAACGTCTTTTTACCGATACTCACCTGCACCGTAGGTCAGCTGTGTGATAACCTGCGTGGCTTAGCATCAGTCACACTAATGGTACTATTAGCTCCGCACACGCCCCTACACTCCCAGGCGACTCATGCTTTGGTCAGTAGGTTTCGCCCCGGTGAAACGCAAACACCACTGCCCCTTTTTTTTGTAACGTTACCACATATGGAAACCAGTTTGTCCCAGTAGCACTGTCATCAAATGTAATAATTGTGCTACCCTGTGAAATAAATAAAAGCATACAGCTGCATGGCTAGCTGCCTAGCTTAAACAACTTTTTTTTTCTTTTTCTTTTTTTTTTTTTAGAAAAGCTGGACTTCCTGCAGGAGCTTCCGCATAGCCATGCCTTATCATCAGTATCATCAGCTGGAGAGTGGATTTGTTCACGTTCAACGCTAAACTGCTAGTCTGACAGAGACACCAGGGAAGCCCCGCACACCACGAGGTGTCTTTCTGCACCATTGTTTTTTTTAACGGTAAAAACCGAACCTTATGACAAATCCACACTGCTTGTCACGCCAACAAAGCTGACATTCCTTCAACACCTCCTTCCGAGTAACGAAAATCTGCCCTAGCATGCTGCTGCAAAAGGACTTTACCTTATTAGGTAACCTGTAAAAATTTGCTCACGTAACTAAAGCATGCCACCACCTCCTTCCATCCTGATCCCAGTCACAAGAGAGACATTTACTTACCCTGTTAGCACAGCTGCACTGTGGATCTCCCTTTTACTTCCCCCCTTTTCCTTTTGTTCTTCTTCCTCCTCTCTGGCTCCTGGGCTGAGTAAGAGTTGTCAGTAATGGCAACTTCTCTTTCTCTCTTCCCCTCTCCAGCTATTAGACCCTCCCCCTTTGCTTTTCAGCCTGGAGAAAGAATGACACCATCCTTCCAAACAAGTTCTTTCTCGTTTGAGTCTGGCTTAGGACTTGTGCATTACTATGTAAACAAAATCTCTCTCTCTCTCTCTCTCTCTCTCTCTCTCTCTCTCACTCTCTCTCTCTCTCTCTCTCTGTGTGTGTGTGTGTGTTCATAAACTGTCCAGTCAGACCCCCTCTTCGTCCTCCTCCTCCTCCTCCTGCTCTCTTTTCTCTCTGGATTCTTGCAGCATTCTTCATTCAATGACATCAACCCTGTTGCCTCTCCTTGTAAGGTCAGAGTGGGGGAACGAGGGAGCAAATGGGAGGGAGAGATAATGGGGCTAGAAGCTTGATTAGATGCAGGCACTGAAAGCAGTCAGCGGGTTTAAAGCGCTGTGAGGCACAGTGGCTGTAAAAAGTTGACCGCTTCTGCTTTTAAACAAGCTTATGAAAATATACAAAGCTGCATTTAGTGCCGCTCTTCTTACCTGCCTAGACTAGCACAGCTCAAGATCAGATTGTAAAGGCATTATTTGTATTGGTTGCCAAGTGGGCTGCCACATCATTGTTTGCTTTGCAGCAAGACCGTAAACGTGGAAAGTCTCTGTGCGCATGATTAGTAAACTCGATTATAGATAGCAACTGCATTTTATCTGTCCCTGTAATCAGGATGTGCAACCTGGTGTTAAAGTGACACCTCCCATCCTGTAGCTCAGCCACGTCAATGACATAATGCTCTTTTGTTTCTCACCAACATCCAACTCACATTGTTCACACAGCCTACCTGGTGTGAGTCATATATCACCTCTTCACGTGTAGTCATTTTTCTGTTTTATTAAGTAAGTCTTTTTTAATGTTTCATTTCAGTTAGATGGAGACACTAAAAATAACAGAGCAATGCTCTCAGTTCTCACAGCAGTCACACTTTGTTCTTGTTTAGGGCTAAAATGATAAGTAGATTAACTGATTAACAACTGGTTATTTTAAGAACTTGATGGTCATGTTTTAGCTTCTAGTACTGGCAACTTGCTTATTTTATTTGGTCATACAAAACCAGAAATTCCACGATTTTACTTGTTTCATTTTTTAAAATGATTTCCTTACACGTTAGAGGGCAAACATAACTGAGCGATCAAGTCTTCTGAAGACATGGTAGTGTGTAAACATTAGTCTTCACAATTAAAAGTCAAATGAAAAGTCCCATCCTGTGTTTTCCAACATATAAACAAGGGGAAAAGCTGCAAACAGAATGTTTATTTTGTGCTTTTAGCATGATTAATGTTGGAGCCTGAATGTTGGATTAACCTTTTAAAAAGCAAATGTGTATCACATGAAAACCATGTGAGTCATCTTTATTTGTACACACATATATTAATCGTCTCATTGCACATTCTCATCGCTGCTGCCAACTCACAGATCGTCATATGATGTTCAGGTTGAGACAGGACAGAGTTGCACTTCAGTCTGATTGTGAAACCGTAAGCAGAGCTCTCTGCTCAGTTCCGTTACCTCTGCAGCGGCGCTTGTGTAACCTGTTGCTGCCTGATTCATGTCTGTGAACTACAGGGTGTGGTCTGTGGGGTCTTTGATAGCCTATTGTCCGGCGAGGAATGTTTCCAGTCTCTCCACATTTCCAGTGGGACAAAAATATGTTGAATTTCCACCCAGAGGTTTCCACAGAGAATGAATATGCACCCCATCCAGGGTGGGGGCTTTTAGGCAGATGACAAATGTTTGTGTGTTGTTCCAAATTTCCTCCACTCTCTTGTGACTGTTTTTGACGGGTGAAGGGTTTAAGCTAAATGACACATGTTTAATGCTCTTCTCCTCCTTTGTTTTTTTTTAAACCAGGTGGTGCCTTGGTGACTGAAGTTTGGATCAGGCAGTGAGACGGCAGCTCCAGGGTCCAATGAGTGTGAAGGTAAGGCAAAAAACAGGAGGCTGTTGGAATCAGAGCCAGACAGACTGGAATGTGGCCAAGCCTTGGAATGAACAGTTCCTCCACCCCTCCCTCGCTAAAGTGCCATATCCCCCCCCCCCCTCTCTATAATGCTGCATTTTTTTCACCACTTTTCTTCTCCAATTGCTTCATTTCTCAGCCTGTCCTCCTTACGCTGCAATTTTCTTTCCTTTCTTTCTTTTTTTAAATTTTACTTCTCTCTGTCCACCACATACTGTGCGTGAATCAGTACTTAGTACGTAATACCTCAGTGCTTATGATTAAAATCCTAATAATTTCCTGTCCATACAGAGGCATGGTCGCTCCATCTCTCTCTCTCTCTCTCTCTCTCTCTCTCTCTCTCTCTCTCTCTCTCTCCCCCCCCCCCTCTTTTAATAATTTCTTGAGAACGTGGGAAACCATTTGTTTGCAAGGCCATTGAAATGTTTTTAACTTTGAACTGCTCATCCAGAATAAATTAAATGATCCATAATAACTTATCTTGTACATAAATGCATCTTTAGCTTTTAAATTTTGTGCCCTTGCTTTTTTAACATTAATAAGGTAATTAAGTAACATTTAATCCAACTCAGGTTATCCAGTGAGAACTTGTAAGAAATAAGGCTAACTTCCACTTTTAAATTCAGCAAACAGTGGTTTCAGCTGCTTTTCATGGCTACTGCACCACATTAAGAATCGGTAAGCCCTGTATCCTCAAAGCAAGAAGGTCCTGGGTTTGAATCCAGGCTGCATTTTTCTCTGTGGAGTTTGCATGTTTTCCTGTTATCTCTGGGTACTCCGGTTCCTCCCACAGTCCAAAGACATGCATGTTAGGTTAACTGGTGATTGTAAATTGACTGTGTTTGTGAATGCAAAACTGAATGGTTGTCTGTCTTTCTGTGTTATTGCTGCAAGCGACTGACGTCCTGTCAAGGCTGTACCCCACGTCTCTATGGTCTCTACGATATGGCCTGCAGCACCTCCACGACCCTGAATTGGATAAGTGGAAGAGAGTGAATGGTTCTGTTATAACTAAGATAAGATAAGGCACAAGTTACCCAGTATACTCACTATCAGCTTCAGCATTAGAGTAATGCATGCATTCTTCACCTTCTATACAATCAGTTGCCAGTTTATTGAACAGATAGCTAAACACTAATACAGACCAAGATAATTATCCTGCAAATAAATGTCAGCAAAGGTTCTACAGATGTTGTCTTTACTTTGTTTATCAGGTTGCCAGCCTGAAAGCAGGCTAAATAAATTTAGACTGGAGTGTGAGAAAAAGCCGATGAAGAATCTTTCATGTGAAAATCCAGTATAAACACAAAGTGTAGCCTGCAATAGATATGCAAAGCAAACGGCATGCACATAAATCTGCAAAGCATAAATTCCAGGTGCACATCAGCCAAGATGAGAACCTGCATTTTTGTGGCAAAACATGTCCTCGTCACTCAGCACTGAGAGGAAAAGTCTCTTCGCTGCCAAACTGGCTTCCAATCAAAGCCAGGGTTAGACTGCAGTGTTCTAATCCCCCCAGCAGGTGTCAGACTGATATTCATTACTGTGCTGCACACAGCCCAGAATCAAATGGCTTGAGGTTAGAAGATTCCCCCACGTTCTCTGACAGCAAGCAAATCGGCTCGAGCTAGAGATGTGTAAAAGACAGAGGTGTGTAAGGTGGAAACCCGCAAATTCAGACGTGACTCTTAGAGATGCTGAGAAGCTGAAGGAAACGAGCTGAACGCAGAAACGTATCTAAGGGCGAACATGCTGCATGGTGGTGGTGGTCTAGACGAGGAGGGCTGGATCGAGAGAGAATGTAGGGTAATTGCGGGAGAAGAGGAAAGAGAATTGTAAATAATAGAGGAGAGTTGGGAACTCCTCGTACGCAAGGTTTTGCCTGGTGTAACAGCTGCATAAACACATATACGCACAAGTCATGCACAGAGAGACTCTATACCACCCACACACAAATATAAAACAGCCCAAAAATATGTGTGCTGAAGAATCCAAGCTAGAAACTGTGGCTCAGTGCGCCAGCTAATAATACACATAAACTCTATTCTCCCACTGGCTAAAACAAAGCTAATGACATAAACTCGGTCATTAGAGAATGTCTTATCAGAGACTGCCTCTTCTCATAACAACATTTATATTGCTCCCTTGTTCCCACCCACCTCCTACACCCCTTGCCTCCTCAAAAACAAACAATTTAGTAATTCCCTCCCTTTTTTTTTCATTCCCCCTTCATCTTCTTTTCTCTCCTTGTCTTTCGCATCAGTTCTCTTTCGCCAGTTTCAGCCAGATGCCACCCCTCCTCTCATCCCCTTTCTCTTTATGGCTAACTTAGCGAAGGCAAGTGTGTAACATGTGGTTCCAATTAACACATATAATGACACACTCTAGCAGTTTGATTCATCACAAAAAAGCCAGACAAAACAGTAGACAGTCACCGACTAAAGGTGGCAGAGGGTGGAGAAAAAAGGGCCTTTCTCAAAGGAGTTTAACCAGTCTGAGCTAGTTTTTAATACTACCTTTAGAAAGACTGGAGCAGGCATTCCTGTGCATCAGCCAGAACGCCTTTAGATTGTCTGAACAAGACAGTATTGAAGCTGGTATTCATTATCCTTGAGGTGTAACCTACATAGCAGCCAGGAGCTGATAGACAGATAGTGACAGGTACATGAAAATCATTGATTACAGAAATTATCTGGGTGTGAGTCCCCAAGGCAACATTAAACAGGAGCCACTGCATCTAAATTCAATGCAGCATCATCACCCGAGATAAGAAAACAAGAGATGCGGTGACAGGAACATGATAGAAGTCGTCCGTGTCATGTGTTGCGAGGCCGTTTTACGTCACGGTATCTTTTTTTTTGTAGTCTCTGCGTGTGAGAGAATAAGTAATGAGACGGCGACGACGATGAGAGGCAGTCACATTTGTGAGTGGCCTATGCATCATGCGTGAGATTAGTGTCAGGAATTTCCTCCATCTATGGCTGACCTTGTCTCACATTGCTAGGCGGTATCATAGATCACCATGTTGTCACAGACTGCCTGAAAAGGCTGCTGCTAAAATTATTTTCCATTATTGATTAATGTGAAAATATTATCCTCGGTTAATCTTTGCTCTACAAACAAAAAGAAAAAGAAAGCAGTGAGAAATGTGTTATGATATCTTCTTTTGTTCAGCTGAAAACAACAACAGGAATAATTTGTTATGTGAGAGATTTAAAAGCGGCGTCTCATGAACTGGGATTGTGGGTACTACGTCTCTTTAACGGTTAATCGATTTTCAAAATAGTCAATCAATTAACCCTTATAGAAGCACAATGTACAAAGTGTTGTAGGAGAAAAGGAGTATAAAACAGGAATCCTATTGACAGGGAAATGCAGGTAAAGCAGGATAGATACGCCTAGATTAGCTGAGGATTTTAGAGACTTCCACTGACTGACATGCAGTGATGGGCAGATGGAGTGAGAACTGAGACAGAGATTTAAAACAACAGCGTCAGCCAGTCAGCTGCAAACAGGGTTAGAGGGTTCAGGTTCATGTTATAGAAGTGAAGCTGACCCCTGCAGAAACCCCTGTGGGAGTTGACAAACAGAGCTAATACACATGGAAATCCAGAGTGCAGGGATTGGCTGGATTATGTATGATTTCTAATGTCTGGCACCCCCCCCCCCCTTTTTTTTTTTTTTTTTTTTGCAGCATCACAACCATGACTGTATATTTCCAAGTGACCGTCATTTTCTTTCATCCATTCTGGAGTGCTAATTTTTATTTCACACAGCATCCTCTCCACACCTCTCCCGCACATGACTCCACTGTTCTCTGCCTGCCTTGCTTGTCATCACTCCCTCCATCTGCGCCTTTTTTCCTGCTTTCTGTTCTTCCTTCCATCCATCTGCCCAGCTCTTTTCCCTCTCTCACTCTCTCTCTCTGCTCTTTACCCAGAGAGTTCAAAGTCAACAAAGAAATGACCACAAATAAACCTGTCTCCAGACTGCTTAGAAACAGCACACATCAAAGTAAAAATAAATGCACGATTTCATAGAAAACCGATGAGAGGAAAGGTTTTGGTATGATGGCGTTATAGATATTATAGATATAGTAGACGGAGGGTGCAGAAGTCATAATGATAATTGTTTTGGTTTATAACGAGGTCTTCTTTGAGCGCTAAGTTTAGTTTAGGGAGGAGTGATGTAGGGCTTTTAGGGAAGGGCCAAAAGACACATGCTGTGAAGAAACTGTGAAACAGGTTGTGTCACAATAACCATTTTATCTCGATTATCTTCTTTTCACCCACTTTAGAAAGCAAAACTGTGGCTGAACCTAAACGTGATTAATTACACAGGCTTAATGGAAAGAGGCACAGGTCTAATGAGAGACGCAGAAAGAGCTGTAGATTAAGGAGACAGGTTTTTGTTTTTGCTTTTTTTTTTTACCAGAATAGAGAAGAGTGTAGCAGGCAAGGTGAAACGGGGATAAAAAAAAAAGGGAAAAAAGGGGGGAATGTAATCCTTAGTGAACAGAAGAAATAGGCGCAGAGATGACTGTGGGCGGATCAATAGTGAGGGATGACAGAGGGAGGAGGTGGAGACTCAGCAGCAGTTTGACTGTGAAGGAAAACCCTCTGCTGCTTTTTTCCTCTCTCCTCAGGATTGTTTCATGTTGGTGTATGAGAATGTTTTTTGAGCGATGAGTGTTGGGGAGGTTGGGGAGAGGGGGGTGCAAAGAGGGAGGAGGTGTTGGGTGATTGAGAGGGAGATGGCAAGGGGAGGAGAGGAGCGAGGAAACCGCTGCAGTGCATTGTTAGGCTGAACGCACACGGGAGAGGGAGACAGAGAGAGAATCCCCCATTTTAGCTCAACAATATTACAGCAGTGCAGTGATATCTACAACAATGGAAGACCGACACTCTCAGCACAGCTATTGATCTTAGTGATGGCACGTCACTGCACACATACTCAGTCCA